TATATTATTCAATGAAACATGTTTGAATGAAGACATGCAGCTTAAATACGCACACACACAAACACACACACACACACATACATACATATATATATATATATATATATATATATATATATATAGCTAATATTACTGGTAAGTATATGCATACATATACAAAATATATAAATATATATACATAGGTGCATACACATACATGTATATTTTTTGAATAAAAAATTTCAAGAGGATAGAATCCAGGTAGAACTCAATGTCCAGGACAGAGTAAGGATATAATAAAAAGGCTTAAACACTAATATTCCATGGTCATAATTTATTCCATTGGAATCGTAAATATTTATTTAAGTATTTACAATTTAATTTTATTTAAATATTCATTTATTTAATTTTATTTAAATATTTATTTAATTTTATTTAAATATTTATTTAATTTTATTTAAATATTTATTTATTTTATTTAAATATTTAATTTTATTTAAATATTTATTCTATTTTATTTAAATATTTATTTAATTTTATTTAAATATTTATTTAAGTATTTACGATTCCAATGGAATAAATTATGATCATGGAATATTAGTGTTTAAGCCTTTTTATTATATATATATATATATATATATATATATATATATATGTGTGTGTGTGTGCTCGCATACAGATGAATGGTACAAGTACCCAACATCAGTAATTATTGAAATCAACTTTTCTATTTGAACTCTAAGCAAAACTTCAAAGTCGACTGACATTTTGTTTCTTCAGAATTCAAATCTCACAAATGACCTTTTCTTTATTCATCAGAAATAATTACACAGACATGATTTTCCCACACATTAAAAAATACCAACATTACACAAAGAAAAAGATTGTTTTGTTTTGAGAAGACAAAGTCTGATTTAATAAGTAAAAGATGTTTTGAAAACATGATATGCCTTTTGTTATTTTAACAAATCAAAAAGTATATCTTTAATCTATTGGTATTGTAGATTTTACAAGTATGCAAATGTTCACACGGCTTGTTTGTCAGCAGATTGTGTAGCATCAGTGTTTTAAAGGAAGAGCTATTCTTTGCCTTCAAAACAAGTAAATTTTTATCTGTAATAAAGTGTGGACTGCCTTAAAATATGTGGACGTTAAAATATGTGTTACTGTATGATCATTAAAGTTAAGCAATTTTTTAATTAGTTGAGTTTGGTCAGTACCTAAATGAGTGACTGCTTGGAAATACCAGGTACTGTAAGCTTGAATATATATATATATATAGCGTAACCAGAGCTGGTGCAAGGGTTTTGTGCCCACACCTCAACAAATCTATGATATGGAGCCTCCCACTTTACTACATCTCAATTTTAAGTTAGTATTCATATAAAATACAAAACTTGTATCACTAAATCCTTATTACCTCAAAAAATAAAAATTCTTACAATTTAAAAATATTTTCTGGCTTTAAATAACCTGCAAAGAGTTAACAAGCCAATCAATCAATCAATATTGATTAACTACACAGGCATGTCTTTTAGATTAATTCAAATTCTCTGGAATAGAAATGTATAAAAACGACCGTGATCACAAAGTGAGGGATCATTTTATATGATTGTAATATAGAATTGATCCCCCACTTTATATCCACATTATAATTTCTTGTTTGTTGATAAGCTGTAGAAAACGAATTAATCAATCAATGAAATACTGATTAGCTACACAGGCATGTCTTTTAGATTTATTTACATTTTATGGAACATAAATGTATAGAAAATACCGTGACCACAAAGTGAGGGATCAGTTTATATATATATATATATATATATAGATCGTAATATAGACTTGATCTCCCACTTTACTTCCACATAATTTCTTGTTCATTTATCAAATTCTTATTAGTATCTCTTTCTTCCCCCCCAGCTGTGGGTAAATTAGTAAGACTTGTATCACTAAACCATTATTACATCCAAAAATAAAAATTCTTACAATCTAAAAATATTTGCTGGCTTTAAATAACTTGAAAAGGGTTGATAATCTGTAAAAAATGAATCAATCAACTGCAAACAATTTTTCAAGATAAAAGCATTTAAATCAGTAAAAGAGTCGCAAAGAGAGAAGTTAATAGCAAAGACATTTATGAAACGGACAAGTGTGCATATGGGAAAAGAAAAATCTATTGAAATATCAGTTTAGATCCCCTGTGCAAGTTACAGTGATCCGTGGCAAACACACATTAACAAAATTCATGAAGCCTAATGAAACTTATGCAAATACAACAAACCTTTGTTGATCGAAATACATTGATTCTGTGCATTTGCTGCTGTGTGGAGAGCAGCTTGTTCAATAGACTGCTAGCGGGAAAAGCAAAAACTGGAAAATATCCAAGCTGTGGTTTGTAATTATCTAAAAACGACACACATCTGATCAGCATTGCTTAGCAGGTGTCTCTATTGACATTATTTCATATTCAATGAACATGTCATCCACCAGGAACCTAGTTAGGAAGTAGATTGTTTCTGAGACGAGTACGATGACCAGCAGGCATGATGCTGGCTTCCATACATATGTATAGAAATATTCGGGATATTGGTAGCTACTCTCTTTCATTATTTCCAGTTAATATCAATTTGACTATCATTACCATAGAAATTCCACAGTGTCTTTTTGGAGTGCAGAATGGAAATTTATTTAAAATAAAATCATATTTACATGTTTAAATAATGGTGTTTAAGATTTAAAATACAATTTATATATGTTTGATGATACAATTTATATATTTTTGATGATACAATTTATATATGTTTGATGATACAATTTATATATGTTTGATGATACAATTTATATATGTTTGATGATACAATTTATATATGTCTGATGATACAATTTATATATGTTTGATGATACAATTTATATATGCTTGATGATACAATTTATATATGTTTGATGATACAATTTATATATGTTTGATGATACAATTTATATATGTTTAATAATAAAGCAGCATGTTATTTTTTAAATTGCTGGAGACCCCTTGTTGACAATCTCATACTGTGCTTAAATTCATAAACTCTAGGCAGCATAGTGGAAAGTTCATTGAAACAATTACCATAAAAGGTATGAGAGTTCATTGCTCACCAAAATGATATATCGTTTGCATACATTTAAAAGTAGACAGAGAGATTTCTTGCATTTTGAGAGAAAATTCTTTGAAGTATTGCATGCTGATTAGAGGCCAATAATATAATTAGTGAGTAATTTAACACTGGGAAGAACTTCAACACTGGTTGTGAGGAACTAAAACAAAACCTTTCACATAAATGTATTGGTACTGATTTGGTAACTTGATTTCAGCCACTTTCCCACCACCATAAAATTGTCTTCCTGTACCTTTTCTACAAATAATTTCTCTGATTAATTTGTCTACACATTTTATAACAAAAAGAATTTCACATAAGCCCACATTTTTTCTTTTTCTTCTTGGCTGACCAGCTAATTTCTCTGAAGGCAAGATTTTCATTGATCTAAAAACAATTTCACATACACTGGCAAATTCCTTTCCTTCTTATTCTCAGCTCACCAGTCAATTTCTATGAAGGCAATGTTTTCATTGGTCCAAAGAAAATTACACATAGGCTCGTGAATTCCTTTCCTTTTCTTCCTCAGTCCTCCAAATTTGAAGGGAGAGGATGAAGGGAGTTATTATTTTGCACTCACTACAAATTAAATAGCGGATTAGACTGGATGGCAGCCAGTCTAGGAGAAAGAGGATTTAGCATTCAAAACTTTAGAGAAGGCAACTGGAAACCACTTCACTTTCATTCCCAAGATGTCATGTCAAGCAAAATCTGAACAAAAAGAAGTCACAGACAAACAAAATCTGTCGAGAGACATATATAAATTAAAGAAAATATTACTTATAAAATTATTTATCTTAATTGCTTTATTGCTCTTTTCCATTGAACTTTATTATCTTAGATACACTGGCTGTAGAAAAGTGAACTGCAATCTGTTGGTGGCTAAATACTGGCAGCAACCTATATACATCACTACTTCAAGACATAAACTACAAAAGTCAAGAAACAATATAAAACAGTATAAAAATATATAAAAAATACTCATGTACAAATTTTGTTAGCTGAAGAGTAATCTTTTTCTTTTTTTTCCTTTCCTTGTATTTTTATTTTTTCAGAATCAAGATGATAGGGTAATAACAGATGACAGGAAGTATAACACAGAGATTTGAAGGCACCCTTAAATAGTAATAGATTTATGTGACTGGATAGCAATTCAATGACAAAAAGTAAATGAATAGCAGAACCAAACAGGGAGGGATTGTAAAGAGTCAAATATTACTTGAGCTCAAAAAGACAGGAAATAGTGGAGAGCCATAATAATCTATGGATTTATGTAAATGGTTAGCAGTGCAGTGACAGGAAGTGAATGGGTAGCAGAGCTGGGACAAGGAGGGATTGTAAAGAGATAATATTACTTGAGCCAAAAGTGACAGGAAATAGTGGAGAGCCATAATAATCTATGGATTTATGTAAATGGATAGCAGAATCAGTACAAGAAGGGCAAATAAAGAGAGAGCAAATAAAAAGTCATATTTCTTGAGCTACAAGATACAGAAATTTGTGGATAGTCATTATCAACAGTGAGTTTATATGAATGGTTATCAGAGCCTGGACAAGGAGGGATGGCAAAGACTGAAACATTATTTGAGCTAAAAGGAACAGGAAGTTGTGGAGAACCATAATCTCCCCTGTTTGAATGGATAACAGAACAAGGACAAGGAGTGGGGGTAAAAACTTAAATCTTAATCAACAAGAAACAGGAAGTTAGCTTAGATAGGGGAAAAAAAATCCCCCTGGTAGCAGGATGTGATACAAAGTAAGTTTAATTTGGGTAACCATACAGATATGTATAGACCAAGAACAAAACTGGCATTGGTTTTCAAATATACTTGTTCTCTTTTTAGTGCAATGAGGGAGGTGCTGCTGCAGAGTTGTAATCTCTTGGAAATGATTTCCCTTATAGAAAGAAAGAAAAACAGATATTACACACTGTTCTCTGCTCAAAGGGACAAAGTTCCTCTCCTCTTCTTTGTTGTTCTGTCTTCCTTCCTTTTTTTTTCTCTCCACTCTTCTGATTTCACTTTTCTTCTCTTCTCGTCACCTATCTCTTCACTTCTCTCCTCTTCAGATCACCTCTCCCTCTTCATCACTTTTTGTCACCTATTCACCTCTCCCTCTTCATCTCTTCTCGTCACCTCTCATCTCTTCTTCTCCCTCTTCTCTTCACCTCTTCTCTTCACCTCTCTCTCTGTTCTTCTTCTCATCTTCTCTTTCTTCTTTTCCCTCTTCTTCTCATTTCTTTCACCTCTCTTTTCTATTCTCTTCACCTCTCTCTTCAATTCACCTCTCTCTTCTTGTCCCTCTTCTCATCTCTTCTCTTCACCTCTCTTCTTTTCTCTTCATCTCTCTCTTTTCTTCTCTTCACCTTTCTCTTCTCTTCTCCTCCCTCTTCTCATCTCTCTCTTCTCTTCACCTCTCTCTTCACTTCACCTCTCTCTTCTCTTCTCCTCCCTCTTCTCATCTCTTCTCTTCACCTCTCTCTTTTCTTCACCTCTCTCTTCTCTTCATCTCTTTCATCTCTCTCTTCTCTTCACCTCTCTTCCCTTCACCTCTCTCTTCTCTTCACCTCTCTTCCCTTTACCTGTCTCTTCTCTTCACCTTTCTTTTCTCTTCTCTTCACCTCTCTCTTCTCTTCACATCCCTTCACCTCTCTCTCTTCTCTCTCTTCCTTACCTCTCTTTCTCTTTTCTCTTCTCTCTTCTCTTTACCTCTTCTTCCTTCTCTCTCTTCACTTCATCTCTCTCTTCTCTTCACCTCTCTTCCCTTCTTCCCCTCTCTCTTCTCTTCACCTCTCTTCCTTTACCTCTCTCTTCTCTCTTCTTCCTCTTTCTTCTTCACCTCTCTTCCCTTCACCTCTCTCTTCTCTTCACATCTCTTCCTTCACCTCTCTCTTCTCTTCACCTCTCTTCCCTTTACCTCTCTCTTCTCTTCAACTTTCTCTTCTCTTCTCTTTACCTCTTTCTTCTCTTCACTTCTCTCTTATCTTCACATCTCTTCACTTCATCTCTCTCTTCTCTTCACCTCTCTTCCCTTTACCTCTCTCTTCTCTTCACCTCTCTTTTTTCTTCTCTTCACCTCTCTCTTCTCTTCATCTCTCTCTTCACCTCTATTTTCTTCTCTCATCTTGTCTCTTCCTCCTCTTCAACAGTATAAGTAAATCTAATACTTCTATATCTATGGTTTTAACCACAGCTCAACAATAATTGGCCAATGACCCAGCAACACAATTGCTATGCAAATTAGGCAGCAGTGCCATTGACCTGGGTCAATCTCTCACTTCAAACATCCAATCATCAAAGAGGGCATAATTCACATCTAACTCATCTTTTCATCTAGAAAAGAGTATTAATTAATTAACAATTATAATATTTATCAATATTCAGCTGTATGTCATGCAAATATTTCCTTTATTGATAATTTTATTATTTTATAGCACCAAACATTTTTCTAACATATAATTCCCACCAACCATATTTACCTAATTGGAATCATTTTATTCATCATTATTATTTTATTTTATTATTATTATTATGCATTTTTGGATTGGATTTATTATTTTAATTCTTTTTCATTTGTTTATTGGTAAATTTTCTGGATCTTCATATATCCTAATATCTATTTATATTCCTTTTTACTCTTCATTTTATCAGCCAGAAAATCAATACAGCCCATGACATAACCAAATTTATCATTTTAAAGCTTCTCTCTAATGAAAGGAGAATCATTAACAAAACCAATTTCTAGCTTTTGGGTTATTAAAAAAATTGCAATAAACTAAACAACATGGACGTTCTTTATGATGATGATGTACTTGGAAAATGGTCTAATAAGTTATCCAAGTTTGTTTGTGGATTTAATGGAATATTCCAGAGAAAGATGTCTTTCCACAGCGAGCCCAGAGCAAATTGTTAGTGACAAAGCCAGGAAAAAGTATGTTTTAATAGAAATGAAGACTCCTGGAAAGTGTGTGTTTTATTTTTAATTTTGCACACAAACACACACACACACACACACGAACACACATACACAGATGTAAATTTGTATACACATGCACATCATATGCCACAGAAGCATTCACACATGCATATGCACATACCTACCCACACTTGCATAAACTCATGTGCAAAGATATGCACATTCATATATATGCACATATCCACACCATTCTCCTACACATGCGTATATACTCACAGAAGTGCATACATACGCACATGCTAATATAGATATACTCATACAGACACATGTACACAGCCATTATTTGACTGTTCCTTCTCTTTTTTTATTTCCTGTTGTGGTTTCTTCATGCCAATCAGTTTTTTGCTTTTCTTTTTGAAAAAAAACTTCAGCAATTTTCTCCCACCTTTTCTCCAGTTTTTATAATTCTTATTCTGCTTTTATTTATTAGATAGATATCACTGATATATAAAGAGAAATCTGATTCTTGTTCAATAACCAAAGTTAAGCAATGTCAAATCCAGCCAGTACTTAGATGAGAAGCAGCGTGTGAACACCAGGTACTCTAAGCAACGCTCTACAATCAGAAATAACTTGTAAAGGGTTGATAAGCTGTAAAAAGCAAATAAATCAATAAATATGGAGACAAATGCCAGACACAAGAAGACATATCATAATAACAACAAGCTGCTCCTCTACAAATTTTACACTTGACAAGCTGACACTTAACATGTTATCTTTACATTTTATGGGGAATAAATTTTATGCTTTCATTAAATACCCATGCATTCATATATTACACATTAATCATTCATGACTGGAACATCTTTTATTACTAAACCATTTCACTGAAGCAGTAAAACACATTCGCTATCTTCCCTTTCTTTCTAGAAACACATATATAAAACTTTGACTCACCTCAGAATAAGAGCATGCCAAAAGCTAAAGAAGGATTAGAGATTTACTCTGTCCATTGCTGTTACACAAAGAAATTGTAGCAGAGGACAGGGAAGATAAATTTGAGGGCAAGGGACAGGCAAGCTATTACAGGGTGGAATGTGCACGGTAACTAAGGAACAAGCAGAATTATAATACAACTAAAAAATATCTGAAAATTAAGAGAATTTAAGATATTTTTCAGTATAGTAAAGCTTCTGCCAAAAAGTGATTAGGAGATAAGTAAAGCTATAATCATACTTATTATAAAACCCAGGTTGTGTGTGAAAGTGTGTGTGTCCTTTCGTTTATATATTGGATTGGATTTCCTACATTTTTCAACCGATTTCAACAAAACTTCACAGGACTGCGTAAAATTACCTTGTGGTGGTTCTGACAGTGCCAAAAATTGGAAAAATACAACTGTTTTGTACAAAATCGATTTGAAAACATGATTAAGAGGCATCACTGTCGTCAGAATGAAAGGGTGACAACTCATATTGAGTTATACTTATTATAAAACCCAGGTTGTTTGTGTGTGTGTGTGTGTTTTCATTTATATATGGGATCGGATTTCCTACATTTTTCCACCGATTTCAGCAAAACTTTACATTTTTTTGGCAGGTAGTGTTTCTTATTGTCTTGCAGACTTTTTTTCTTTATTTTTACATTCAGAATGCTTTAAAAATTCCATTTACAAGACAATTGTTTATAATAAAATTCTATTCAATCGGTAGACTCATAACGATTGAAAACAATGTTTTTATTTGAGTTTGGGTTTGACCAATTCTTAAAAAAAAATGTGTCCATCAACCTTAAACAATAATCTTTGTCAATTTTATTTTTCAGTCTTTATGACGGTCGATACTTGATCTATCTCTTACTGTTACATATATATATATATATATCCAGGGAAAAATGAGCAGCTCTGAAAGAGTCTGTCCAAATGTAGCCTACTGGCATAAAAGTGGTTAATGCTATAAGAAATGGCAGAGCACCAATATTACTTAAAAACCAGTTTGGCAGTCACTGATCCCTACTATCATTTTCAAAAAAGGAAGCAAAAAAGAGCAGTCAGGAGGACAGTTGATAGCAACTGACATCACATTTACATTTTTGAAGATTAAATTTGGCTGGAAAGTATGAAGTCGGAAGGGAGTTTCACAAATGAGAAGTGTGCCAGAAGAAACTGTTAACATAGAACTTACAGTTACTAGCTAGCTCGTCTGTAAATTGATGAGATCTCGACGCCAGTCTAGTAATACACATAAATTCATAAAGTCTAGAAAACATAGTGAGAATTCATCTGAGCAATCACCATGAAACTATTTATAGAAAAGGCAAAGGAAGCAAATTTATTTATGACAGGAAAGTGACTGAATACAAAAGGGCATGTTAGGATTAATAATATTGCTGATCTGTCTTTGGATTTTATCAAGAATTACTAAATACATGACAGGAGCACTGGATAATATGCAGCAAAGCATGGTAAACTAATAAAAATGTAAGCTATATTCAAGGGAAAAAATTGTTAAGCATGATACAGTGAACCAACTTACTAGCAGCTGAGAATGTTAGCCTGAGAAAGTGCAATGGATTGCTTTCCTTGATGTCAGCATCAGCCATGCTGATGGAAAGCAGAGAGAGATATCTCAAATGATTAATAAGAGAGCAGTTTAGTTTTGGAGGTGTCAAAATTAACAAGCCATCCTTTGCTCCAGTTAACAACAGTCTGAAGATCATTTTTGATATCAATGGCTAATTTGATCTTATCAGACAGGCATAAATGGTTGTATCATTAGCATAAATGCCAAATTCAGAGCTGACATATCTTTGGGTTTGTCACTCTGCCTTCTGCTTATGCGTGCTTATAGTTGGTACAATTGTGGTCATGTGATCAAAGTTTGACCTTGATTGTGCCAGTTTTCTTGCTGCTGTTATAATGTAAACATGTCCTTTAATATTTACATTATTCAGACTGTTATCCCCATCTTCATTGCCATATTCACAATGTTGTATGTTCCAACCTTCTTCAGGTAATTGGTATTTCAAACCTAACCCTTTCTGTTGTCCACCAGGGTAAATTGTCCTAGTTCCACATTCCATACCTCTTCTAGATGTCTCAGTTATTTCCCTTTAACTCAACTCTCCAAGTTTGTTCACCACTGCTGTGGCCTGGTATTGAACTCACAACTGTTTGGGTCTAGTCACTGGATCTAACCAACATCTAAGAAACATTGTGAATGTGGCAATGAAGATGAGGATAACAGTCTGAATAATGTAAACAATCATAATACCTCATTTCAGAGATATACACAGATATGACCTTTAATAGTAAAGAAAAATAGTTCATGAATGCTTTTTATAAGATGTATAAATAAAAGGCAGATGAAAGAAATGTGAGAGATAAAAAAGCAACAAAAATAATGATGTCGATAATAATGCTAATAATATTTATTGTATTTTTATAAAGCCTTTTGACCAAATGGATGCATGATAAGAAAGATTTTCAAAATCAGTATTTTTGGATATGCCTGTGTCCTTTCTCAACAACATGAGAAATAAAAAAAAATGAAATGGGACTTTCTTTTCTGGGAAATTTGTTGTTTTTCTTTCCACATGTGTTATATCACTGTAAGAAATCTGACAGTTTGGGGCTAGTTTTTTTGTCATGATTAGGTCCTAATATATGTACGAAAACTATAGAAATGGTTTCCCTGCTGAAAAAGCTGATAAGCTTCATTTCCTGTCAGAGTTATAATCTTTCTTCAGGAGGATTTCTCAATCTAGCCTGATTGTTATTCTTTTCACCGTTTAAGAAAAGGAAAGTACAAAACAAAAATAGCAACTCAAATATATGTATATTAAAATAAAGTTTATACGGGTTGAAAACCCTTTATCTGAAATTCTTGGGACTGGAAATGCTTCAGTTTTCAGATTTTGAAATACATATTATTTAATTTGTTTACAGCATCTATAAAATGGAGCAGCTTGGGAATGAAACCTAAGCATAAACACGATATCCCTTTACATTTCATAACACAGCTTATACATACACCCTTAAGGTAGTTTTATATAAATAACATATAACCTGAAAGTCATTTGTATAAAATTTAATAGATTTTATCTACATACAGATACAGATAATGACGTCAGTCAGGTAATGCTCATATGAATTTCTAAGTGGTGAAATTAAGATTTCATGTAAAAATAATGTTTTGTACTTTTTTTATGTGTACAAAAAAAATCATAATCACTATTTA